TTTTCCTTACGTGCCTCCCATCCAAATGTTAACCCAGCCTGCGCCTACGTATCCTGTGAAATGTGCTGCGATGGTAGCTGCAGCCAGCACAGCTGTCCTGCTCATGCAGTGCACGGCTGCATACGCCCAATACTTTTGTACAGCACATTCAGCTGTGTCAATACACAGGTGCCTACACGTTATCATCCATATAAAACTACATGTTGGCAGATGGTGTGTGCGTTAACATGCAGTATGTGCTGATGCCTCTGGGCGCATGAGTTTCTCTGTGGCCAGCTGGCGCCCAGCATACGCATTGGCACACTCGGCTTGTGAAGCTGCTCTCCTTGCTGCAGCAGCATGGGTGTGCAAGCTGCCTTCCCCAGCGGTGCAGAGCTACACAGAGGGTCTGGAGCTGGATCTGCAGTGTGCCAGCAAGATGGAAAGAAAGTTGCTGCAGCGCAGAACAGCCTTGCCTTCCCCCCCCCCCCCCACTGTTTTCCTCTCTGCCTCACTGCAGGGGTGAATTTTACTTTGAGTTGCTGTACCTTGGACAAGATTATTTCTTTCTGGTTTCTTCTGGATCTGATCCTCAGAGAGCCTGAGCACTGAACTGTGTTCCATGAAATATCAGCAGTAGCTGCAGCAGGCTGCCCCTGGGGCCAGCAGGGAGCCACGATGCTTTGCACTCCTTGGGAGTGCACCCTTGGTGTGCCATGTCATAGAATCATAAAATGGTTTGGGTTGTAAAGGACCTTCAAAGGTCATCTAGTCCAACCCCCTGCAATGAGCAGGGACAGCTCCAACTAGACCAGGTTGCTCAGAACCACATCCAGCCTGGCACTGAATGTCTCCAGGGATGGGGCACCCACCACCTCTCCGGGCAACCTGTGCCAGTATTTTATCACCCTCATTGTAAAGAATTTCCTCCTCAAATCCAGCCTGAATCTCCACTCTTTTAGTTTAAAACCATCACCCCTTTTCCTATTGCAGCAGGGCCTGCTATGAAGTCTCTCTCCATCCTTCTCATAGGCCCCTTTTGAGTACTGAAAGTCTGCCTGTGCACGCCACTGGAGGCCAGGGACACGGGACGGGGAGCTGAGGCAAAGAAGACATTAGAGCACAAGTGACATATCTCAATATAATTTCTAAAATTCTATTAATTGAACAGATAAAATACCTCTGATCTATTTTTGTTAATTTTGTTACAAAATATTAGCCATTTGGACTCTTTGCTAGGTGTGACCACACCACTTTTCCCAAAGGAAGCTTTTCTTGGTGATATTTACAGCAGGAAACAGGTACAGACAGACAGGTGCTTTCAAAAGCCTACACACAGGTAACACTTCTGCTGTTAGTTGTTAAAAAGACACATTCAGATGGGGTTGTGACTAGTGTTGAAGAGTGGGTGACTTCAAAGCTGCTGTCCCAGGCATAGCTGTGCCAAAGCAAGCAGGACAAGGACAGCTCTAGCTCACAAAACACTGTCGGCAGTCCCTGGAGCCTACACTAGCACAGTGAGGCAGCTGGTGGAGTGGGAGATGGGGGAGCTTGCTCAGCAACTTGCATTTCAAAGCAGAGACTCTGCCAAGCAGCAGCTTCCTTGATCTAGGGCTCAGATTTGTTTTGGAAACCTCACAAACATGTGCAGATTGTTGCAGGTTGAGCCTTGTAAGAAACACATAACAGAATTCAAACTTGCAGCTCAGCAGCCCTCAAACATTTCCAAATCTGCTGGTACCCTTTTGCGAAGAAGTTTGAGTATTGATGAAATTCTGGTTGTGGACCATATCCACACCTCTCATCTACAGGGAGGAGAGAAAAGGTGAACAGTGGGATGCTTTGAAGGTCTTGCAGAAAGCACCAAGTGTTGCTACCACGGTGGCCCAGACTATGGCGTTAAAAGTGTTACAGCAGTGGAGAAAAACTGTTTTAAACCCAAATAGTTTGCACTAAGCCTGATTCTCCTGCCACAGTTTCTCCATCCCTTTACTGTTGGTGCAAACAGATTAATTTCACTGGCCCTGTACCAGCACGAGCAAGAGAGTCTCAGGACAGAGCCTGATGGGCTGCATAACACAGCTTTGTAGACCTCACCTTGCTCTCTTTACCCTCCTGCAGAACCAGCTTCTTCTTTGGCCACTGACTACTCAACACTCACTGCAGAATACAGAATACTTTCTACTGGGCTTCTCTTTTCTCTCTCCCCCCTTCCTCTCTTTTAATATAGAAGGATATGAATCCAACAGCAAAGACACTGGTTATTAGGGTTGATTTAATCTCTGCAGCAGCTTCCTGCCTGATCCATCCACCTGAAAGATTGTGTTAGGTTCATGAGCAGAATCACTGCTGTCAAGGGCTGGTGATTTTTCTTTGGACTGGTCCCTCCAGGCGAGCTGTGGTACACATTTTGTCCTTCATTAGGTTGTCACTGACATGCTCTTTCTAGCCTGCACCCCGCACCCTGTCAAGGATCAGTCTGTGTGCAAGGGTGCCTATACACCATACTACAGCTACATTCAGCCTGTGTGTCTCGCTTGGGTGGTGGAGGGCTGTGGGAGCAGACAGTACAATAGATCAGATGAGGTGTAGACATGCTTTAAAGTGCTTGTCATCCTTCGAGACCAACCTTCAAAGGAAAAAAAGAATCCATACTTAGAAGTGAAGTCCGAAGGGCTCAGCTACACAGTAGAATTTAGAGCAGCCTGTTGCACGACAACCTGGAATAGAGTAGTTTGGTGTCTCTCTAGCTGAACCCAACAGAAGACGTTGTAGCCAGCAGGCTAGAAGACAGCAAGTGTTATCTACGTTTGCTTCTCTGTCCAAAGCTCAAGGCCAGCATTAGCCTTTGCAAGGTCAGGGAAATGGAGCCAACTTGCCCTGAGAGACTGCTGTGCCTCAGGTACCTTGGCACTTCATTTAACTCGCTTGCACCCTTCACCCAACACATAGAAGGGAGTCTCATTGAAGCTTCCTTATTTCTCCCTTAAATTCTTTCAGCTCTCCCAATCAATTATTAAAGCAGCAAACCTCTCTTGTAGGAACTTCATAGGCATTGTTATAAATATTTTATCTAAAAAAATTATTTCATCAAGTACCTTCAGGTTCTGTTGTTGTCACTTTGTGTTAAATGTCAAGTAAAATCTAATTTATTTATTTTAACACACTCACACAGACATTCAGTGCCTTGCTGCACTCTTGGAAAAAACAAACAAACAAGGACTGCCATTCCTCTCAGGCAGTGAAGTAACCACCAAGAAGGGAGGGCGGTGTCAGCCATAGAAAGAAAGTGTCATAATGCTACCTTATTATAAATCTCCTCCTGCATACCACCCCTTCCACTGCAGCAGTGAGCAAAATAAAATGGCAGCTATACGCTACATTGACTGGACAACAGCAGATGCCACACGTATGACTTCCCAGGAAGCTTTGGGTAGGTCAGATGAGATCTGGGCTGCGTGATGAGATGGTGTGGCACCCTGGAGGGAGCCAGCAGCAGATCACGCCAGCTGTGCCTCACATCTGGCTGGAGTGAGGGGCTGAGCCCTGGCTGGGATGAGGACCTCTCCCTGGGCCGGGATGTGGGATGCGGAGCATCCTCACTGCCCTGAGGGGCTGGATGGAAGAAAGCTGCTCTGGTCTGGAAGGAGACTGGACTTTTGTTCAGGCTTTTCTTACATTTTTGTCTGTCTTATGCTTCTGCCCTGCTCCCTGTGCCTGTTCCTTTTCAGTTCATTTGCTATTGCTTATAAAAGCAGTAGCCTAGTGCCCTGCTCCACACAGCTAAGAAAACAACTTAGACCTGCTGGCACACCTGGGTCAGGCCCAGAAATAAGGGGACCTGGAAGAGAGCAGGCTCCTGCCCTGGAGAGCTGGCCAAGCACAGGGAACCCTCCACCCCAGCCCCTGTCCACTTCCCTAACCCCAGCTGGGCTTATGTCCAGGTTAAATATATGAACTCTTTCATCTAACATTTCAGCAGGGCCAGAAGACATCCAAAGGGCACTGAGGGGAGCCAGTCCCTGAAGCACTGAGGGTTTTGTCACCGGCAATAGCACCAGAGGTGAGCATACTGGTGCAATCCCTATGGAAATCGCTTTGCGAATTTTACCCTGCAAGGTAAAAAAGAGTCTCCTGCATCTGTATTCACTGCTCCCCTTTCCTGACATTCTGCACATCCCCACCATTGCCAAAAACTCCTGCCACTCCTCACCCAACGGCTGTCATCAGCACTCAGTGCTCACATCTCAGCCTGGCACAGGAAGGAAGAACATTTCTTTCTTTCCCTCTTAAAATGACATAAAAATAAAGGCCCTAAAAGGCATTCTGTCCTATTTTAAAATCCTAAAGTTGATCTTCCTAAGCCTCAAAGGGAAATCGAGTGAATGAGTAAGACCAAAGCCTTTAAGATAATTAATAACTTCCCCTCCCTACTGCTTCCTAAAAATACATCCACAGCCCATTTTTAATGCCGTCTTCCTTCACATCAATGTCCCCAGTAAAGCAGAGCTGTCGTCTCTATCTCAGGATCTACCCATTCCCTTACTTTGAAGCTGGGAGAGGGAAGGATAGGGAGGGAGAGAAGAGAAAAGGCCTTGGAGTTTGGTATCAGGGCAGCTTTCCTATAGGAAGGGCTGATGGGGGAAAGAGCATAGACGGGATCTCACATGAGTGGTCTCCAAAAAGCCCCTTTCCTCTAATGCAGGAGGGAACATCTACCCCAGAAAGTGAACAAAACACTTGGCTTTGCTTTCAGAATAGAAAAAAGCAGGTGGGCAGGAAACACAAAACCAGCCAGAAGGAGGAAAGCAGAAGTGGCTCTGTTTCATGCTAGAGAGACAATCTTTGTGTGTGTGTGTGTGTGTGTGTGTGTGTGTGTGTGTGTGTTGAGGTGGGAGGGCACCTCTTGGTGCCATCTCTTTGGAAAAGTACTCAACCATCCCAGGAAAGATCCCTAGACTTCATCCCTTCTGCTCCCTCAGAACTGCTTGGTGTTTCCTTTAGTAAGCATGCGCCATACATACGCTACCATACAGGTGTATTTACATGTGATGAGGTCTGCTAGGTCTCAGCAGAGGTCTCTGGTACAATGCTCCAATATAACAACAGAAAGAGTTTTGGTGTTCAGAGTGAGGCCATCTTCGTGTCGCACTGCAGCTCAGGACAGTCTCTCCTCCTCTTGAGCTTTCTTCCACTCGTGCACTCCTTTGCTTGGAACCGGCTGCTGCGAGGATCGAGTATTTGAAGAGCGATGAGAAGAAAGCGTAGCAAGTGGTACAAGTTCTCAGCTCCAGCTTAGCAGGTGGCAGCAGTGGTGGCAGGGGGGACTCCATCCCCAGGAGTGCCCCAAGGCTGGTCCTTGGCACAGGTGGGTCCATTTCTCTCCGAGGCTGGCACAGTTTTGGGGTAGGTACAAACCTATGGCCGGGTTAATGCAAGGCGGGGGGAGGTCGAGGAGTAGCAAATGGAAGACACAGTGCTTAGAAGGCAGCAGGTCATCAAGCCTCTCAGGAACAGGGCAGCAAAGTGCTACAAGGGAATGGCACGAGCACAGGAGGCCAGCGGGGCTGGCAGGGTGTGAGGATGTGTGAGCATGTAGGTTGGCAGTTTCTACAGATGGCTCCTCACAATTAGCATCACCTTGAGGGGAGGCAGGGCAAGAGTTAGGTCAGTCGGCTGTTTTTTTGACTTTTTTTTCTTCTTTTCTTCTTTTACTAAAAAATAAATCACAAACTAGATCTCTGTAGGCAGAAAGGGTCCCCAGGGGGCAGTGGGGAAGGGAAGCAGGGAAGTCTGTGCTGTTCTGGTGCTGGTGGTGTGGCTACACGAGGCTGCGCGAGCCACTGGAGTACCTGCGCCTCTGAAGCAGGGAGCCTGGGGGGCAATACTGGTGAGGGTGGTTGTAGGGAGGTGGTGGAGGTGGGAGGGGAGGCTGATGGACCAGCTTCATGGGGGTCCCCGGGAGCCCACTGCCCACACTGCGCCAGGGGGTGGAGGTGCAGGAATCAGAGGTGACGTAGCGTGTCAGAGTCTGGTTGAGGGCCGGCTCCATCCGAGCGAGGCACGGCTTGTCCAGGACAATGACTTTGACAATCTGCTGGCACTGTACAAGTGTCCCCGCCGAGGCGGGGTGCGAGGGCACCAGTGCTGTCTCCAGCCGCTCCTGTGGCATGTTAAGATGCGTGGTGGGCTGCATTCCACTCTCGGGCCCCAGGGCGGAGTTGTGCTGGTACGTTTGAAGCCTGTTGTGAATTGACACCTAGTTTAGAAACAGCCAAAGAAGCATTAAATGTTACAAGACTTTTCCCATCTGCTGCTACTGGCTGCCCTGAGCCCCCACCACCAGTTGGCCTCACGTGCATTAAACCCTCCCTCCAAAACCAAACCAGAACAGACACAACCCCCGGCTGCGCAGAACTCCCCAGTAGCCCCATCATCCCCATCTAGGCCTAAGCGCCCCTGTCCTTTCCATCGTGTCAAAGGCATCAGGGCCGGCGTTCCCAAAACCAGTGCAATTTTGATTGTCCAAACAGTACAGGGAACGCAAATCAACTCTAGGTCCATGAATTCTCATGGTAATGAACAGACCTTGGAGGTCATGCCCTTGTCCCCACCAGCAAAAAGGAGAGGGGAACCAGACAGCGAGGCTTCAGATAATAAAGGTTGTGCGTTTCAGCAATATGACAGTAGCTGAATCTGAGATAGGGGCAGACAGAGAGCCTCAAGCCTTTCCCAGCTCCCTGCCTTTCTCAGTCGGAAGGTACACCACCTGACTGGCTAATCTGTTTACAAAGGAAAAAGCAGAAACCTGACATTCTCTAGCAAACGGCAGCTCCCTCCGAACCATTTGATGGTTTGTCAGTGAAAGGAAATGATTTTCAAAAAAAATAAAAGGAAAAAGGAAAGGAAAAAATGCCCGTCTAGCTCATACAATGATAAAAGAAATTCATGATGAAATGGCAGCAGATTAGATAATCTCAAAGAAATGGAAATGCTCCTCTGCTGGCAGAGTATTGCTTGGGCAGCTGGAAGGGGGAAGGGGAGTAGGAGGTCATCAGGGTCCTCACAGATTGATAATGGAGTCACATGAGGGAGCTCACTGAGCCCAGTTTGAAAAGGAGGAGCTGGACTGGACTGGAGGTCCCTAGAGGGGGAAGCACAGAAGGAAAATGGTGCTTCCCAAACGGTGGATGAAGTTGTAGTTCCTCCTGGCAAGGGTATGGGCTGATGGAAACCCCGAGTCAGAGCAAAGTTGCCGGCTCAAAACAGAATGTCAGCCAAGTGACAAACCCTGGTAGGAAACTAGTACCTGCAGGTTTGCATGGCACTTCCAGTTAGGCAGGGGTACAGCAGACAGGCAGATGAGACAGCGGGGGTGCCCTGGTGGTCTGGCACGTTGGGCAGCCATGCCAACAACGGGGAAGGAGAAGCTGTGGAGTGGCCAAGCTTCCCACCATGCTGGAAAAAGCATGGAGGTTGCTCAGAGTCACTGTACAGCAGGACATAATATTGTGTTGATATTTATACAGGCAGTGGACTGTCCCATAGGAAAAACTGGTTGCTGGGCCACAATGCGCTACTGACATTAGGATACATGGAAGCCATTCGCCACAAGGAAACACTCCTCCCAACAGGAATAGGAAATTGGCTGGTAGAGGCACCTTCCCCAGGAAGGGGGTGTCTGCAAGGAAGTGGGGTGCTCTTCAGGGAAAAGAAGCAGCACCCCCTCCCCACAGAGAAGCTGAAATCTTCAAGTGAATATACTATAACAAGAGAGAAAAGAACTACCCTGGAAAAGGGCAAATTCAGGACAACGGTCATATTCCAGACAGGGAGAGAGTAGGAAGCAATAGACAAGATTTTCAGCTGTGAAGATCACATTTTCCTGTTTCCTCACAGGCAATGGAAGTATGGGTGTCTGTGAAGAAACAGGCAACCCACTGGATGCTAGACATCCCTGCGAAGGTAGAAGTACACTGGACAGCCAAGCTCCCTGCCTAGGAAGCTGAAGCTCTAGGGAAAGTCTCTGGTATACAAAGGCCATGCTTAATCCCCTACAAGGGGGGATGGAGAGAGAGAGCTGCAGAGATTGTGCAGGAAAGCTGGGCTGCGGGGAATTTGCATGTGATGCTTCATGGAGTTAGCATGTCAGAGAAGTCTTTAGTGGGGTTCTCAGTCTCCCCAAAAGCAGTGGGGTAGGTTAGTCTACAGCGTTTGGGAGCTTGGTCCATGAGGGATGTTACAGTTATAAAAACGGATTGAAAATGCTTTGAAGTTTAGTTTGGATTTGAAAGTTGTATTACCCGTCCTAGCAGTAACTTTTAATTGTATCTCTGGAAATTGGTAAAATTGTCAGTCTGGCTGGGGAGGCATTGATTAAAACCTGAGAAAAGAAACAACAGAGAATGTGAGAAGAGCTGAAGTGAGAGAGAATTACTTACCTCAGCTGCTCTGCACTCTACTTACCTCCACTGTGCTGTCCGAGACCTTCTCTCCCAAATCCTTCTTGCCTTTGAAAGAAAACAACAAATCTCACTCATGAGGTCTGTACTGGCCCTCATACTGTGCACTGGAAAGCTAAAAGTAGAGGTGCATGGCCAAAACAAGGCTCTTGACTGCATAAACAAATCCAGACCCTCTTGCAACCTCATAGCTGCTTAGTGGGGTCAGAGGAGGCCCCTTCCGGATTCTCTCCTTAGGTCCTGATCTCAGTGCCATTCCAGTGAGTTGGTAGCCACTCGCCTCTGCACTTGCTTTTTGCTGGCATAAAAGCCAGGGCACGAATGGACACAAAGCTTGTGATAGAAAGAGGCTGGTCCAAAGTGTTGGTATAGAGGCTGGAGGAAGTCAATAATGCAGTTACTGTGTTGCATCAGTTCAGGGAAGAAAAAGCGTCTCAGGTTCTTCAGCAGTTACCTATGCTCCACCAATAAAGCCTCTTTGCTAGATGTTACAGCTACAGACTGGGTAATGAGGCTTTAATGGCTTTTCTAGGGTATTTGAAGAATGCACATATTTCCACTATTTCTCGTATTTCCACTATTTGCCCAAGGCTAAAGGATACAAAGCTGAAATTTCTTTTTGCAGTTATTCTCACAGGAATCAATGAAAACACATTTGCAAAGGCACCACTGCTTAACCATGAGAAGCTGGGTGTCCTCTTACCTGTTGGTGAGCCTTGCTTAGACTGCAATTCCATCTGGGCTCCATTGGTCCTTAATGAGAGAGTCTTTGCCCCTTGCTGTTTCTCCAGCTCCCCTGCAAGACAGATATACAAAAGCTTACAAGAATGGAGAGGACACCAGCATATTGAAGGAGCAATATGGGAAGTCAGTAAGGAGAATTAATGCAAGAATATTACAAGAGAGTGTCAAGAAGGGAAGAAGAGAGGAACAGCCAAGAAAAAAAAAACAGAAACTGGAGAGGACTTGACGTGGAGGAACTTACATATCTCCACACAGCCCTCTATGTATGACCTGCATTTATAATGAATAGGTTGCACAGATGAGACCACTGATGCTGAGCTACTTTGACTCACCAGTTTATTCATGGAAAGGCCACTGAAGGCTACATGAATATCTGATCTGTGTAGGACAGACCACAGAGAGACACAGTACAGACTGCATGTCCCCTAGACATTCCTGGACTGAAGGACAACTCTGCTAAGGCTACCAGACCTGTCTCATACTTTTCAGCTACCTAGTGACCATATTTGCATAGTCAAAGGAGTATGGAATGGAGAAGAGTCTTCTGGGTCTGAAAGATTCACTATTCTAAGCCACTGCATCATTCACCCTGTTTCATAAGCATCGTAAGTAGTTGTTCCATTTCTCCTGCTGGTGGGTGGTCACAAAGCCTGACTGCTTTTTCACATTATCGATGAACACAAGTCCTGTGCAGACTTGTGCTACTCATCCTCTTTCCCCGTGTTCCTGAAGAACGCGTTTCCTTTACCCTTTCTCCCTTGTAGACACATGCAGTGTGATGGCATTGGAGTGTGAATTGTGTTAGAGGCCCTTACATTCAATTCGTATCTGCTCCAGCTCTGTCACTTCTGCTATCGACTCTTTGAGGTCTTCCACAAACTTCTGCATTTCCTCAGCACCCAGAGCACAGAAGTGTAGTACCTGTTTCTTCTCTGAGCCTGAAACTGGAGTCACCAGTGTGATGCCATGGGGGTAATCTGTAAAAAAAGGTGTGTCAGAAAAATTAAGTGGTGTTAAGCATTCTTGCTGGAGTATTTGATTGCTTTGGTACCCCTGCAAGACAGAGTTTCCAACATGAGTCCAAGGGAATGGCACACCTAGAGTTTGTCCCACTGCAGACTGAGAGCCTGCAACATTGCAGCCTTCCAAGGGAACAGAATAGCCAGCTTGCAGCAGTAAGGCAAGTGCCACCAGCACCACAGAACTGCCCAAAACAGCTCTTAGTTACACTTATGCAACACTGGCTCTAGGAGCCTGAGCTCAGAGGCAGAACTGTAAAGCCCTTCTAAATCTGTGGAGGAGTAAAGAGTATGTATTGGAGGCCAACAGCACTTCTCCTGTGTGAGATGCAGCAGGAGAAGTTGGCTCCTGGAGTCATAAGCCAGAACATCCATTAACACCCACAGAGGCAGGACTTCTCCCCAGTCTCTGCTTCCATCATCAGAGAACATGTCAGGGGCGTTAGCACAGCATGGGTGGGGAATTCATTGTGCTATGCAGAGAGAACGGTAAAGATGTGGGTTTGTAGGTCTCTGCTTAGCACTCCCCAGCACGCAAAACACGTGGGAATGTAAATGAAAGGATATGCCTGGAGAGTGAAACATCAAAGAAAAAGGCCTTGTGTTTTAAAAACCAGGTTGGGTGCAGGGAGGTGGTGGCTGGAGACTCAGCCAACAGAAGCAGGAGAACAAGAGCATGCAGAGAACTTGCTACACTTGCGACTGGACTTCCTCTACCTTTCGCTCAATGGCCAGTGGTTTCAATCCATTTTCTCCTTCCCTCTCACCTTTCTCCAGATTTAATTTCTTTCTTCTGCTGTCCTGCTTTCTCTCCTCCTCCACTGCCTACTTTCCACATGCTCTTCCTTTATCAATCTTTACCACACTAGCCACAGGACCAACCTGCTATTTGCTGCCAGCCCTCAGCTCCCCTGGTTTGTGTCTGAGGACCCTTTTCCCACCCTGCGTCTCTTTGACCTGTGACAAGCTCTTTGGGACATCTGCTTTTCTGTCCCTGCAGGGGATACATCACAGGATGCCTTTGCCAGAAGTTCCTTGGGCATTCCCAGTATAGTCATGATACCCCTGAAAGCTGATCCCTGCTATGGTGGTGCCCAGGGATGCCCAGTTATAAATGACTCTTGTACACACAGGGATGTGAGAGACTCTGCAGGCTGCAGAGGATATGGTGCTAAGAGAACAACTTGTGCTGCCAATAAGGTAGAGGGAAGATGTAAAATACTTTGTATAGTCACAGAGCTGCTACAGTCTTCCTTCCTTGCTGCATGTTCTACAGCTCCTCACAAACTCCTCAGCCCCTCTGCCTGCACCAGCAGGAAGCCTGCCTGTTTCTGGAACTCCTCCACCACACAACTAGCTTCAATCATGACACATCATGGCTCTATTCCCAGTCCATCAAGGTCAGGCTGACTAGGGCTGGCCTCTCGCCATGCTTTGGTGGGTGCTGTTCCAAGGACTCTGCTTCTGTCTTGGGAAGCTTTCAGCACAGCACAGCATGGCACAGTGCGGGGAGGCAACAGCAGCACCTGAACCTTTATCAATGTCAAACGTAGAGGTGAGAGTTGTGACTTTGGGGAGAGGGGATAAAGTTGGAAGCAGCAGTTTTGTCAGTGAGGTTCTCCACCTACAGTTGGCTCCTAAGAGCTCACCGAGATGTATCTAGAGATTGACTCCTTCATTTCTTCCCACTAGTGCTCTCCCCGCCACCATGACAGACAGGTCTTTCAATAAACTTTAGTTCATCCCTTCTGCAGGAGCTCAGACCTATTGAGAGTTAGCAGGAGGCTCTTCTGATCACACTGTACCTGCACAGTCATCTCCTCAGCACTAAGCCTCAGTTTTCTCCCCCCTACTTTAAACCGTGATAGAATCTCTCTTCTGATGCAAACTCACACTGACTGATACAGCCCCCTCTCTCCTACTCCTTTTCCCTGCCAAACCCCTCCAGGCAACCCATGAGCAATGGACTTACATTCATTCTCAAAGAGATGGAACTGCATCCCTAGCAGGCCAACCGACTTGCAAAATGTGTACGTTGAGGAGCTTTTCTTCTTGGGGCACAGCTTGAGGATCTGTTGGAGGGAGAGATGCATCATTGGGCAGGGTACTGGTGAAGAGTGAGGCAAGAACAATGCAACCTGCTCAAAGTAAGAAAGCTTTCTGCAAGCTCTGTTAATTCTGCATAGGAGTAACACTGGGTGAGTGACAGGCTCATTGCCCAGAAAGCTGCCTGGCATACTGCACTTGTAATAACACTTCTGAAATTCAGCATGCATAGATAGCCCTGGGGCCCACGCAGCTCCCTGTCTCCCAGAGGGGCTGGCTTTCTGATGCCCACATTTCTGACTTTGCAAGGGTAATTCTCTTCACAGAGATTGCCAGATCAAAAGGCGAAAGGAAGCCTGTCAGAAATACCTTAGAGCTGGGAACAAGAGCATATGTGAATGCTGTGCTGCCCTCATTCCCTCAGCACTAGCTCTTACAGACCTGATTTATCAGATAGCAAGGAGCAGACCCTCTCCCCAGCTTCACAACTGTACAAACCAATGCAAGGGAATTGGTGGGGAAGTTCTCTTGTCCTCTGCCCCTACAAAAGGTCTTGGGGTTAGCCTTACATTTGCCACATCTACAGTTTCATTTTGCCATTAAATTCAGCAGAACTCCCATCTTGTTTGGCCTCTTCTCAGTCTCAGTGTAACTCTGCCCTCTCTTTTATCTGTCTGAACTCAGCTGCAAGTTTTAAAAGTACTGTACACATTTGGGGCTCCAGTAAGTGATATCTAGTTCCTGCAGCCTTTGCAATGTTAGAAGGCAGTGGTCTTAAAGTGCCTGGCAGGGAAGTTTTAAAGCGCATGGGAGGGCTCTGTCTACTATGGTACAAACAGAGAAAGAAATGAAATGAATCCTCCTGAATCTTCCTGCTGGCAAAGGCATGAGAGAGAGCAGTGACATTGCTGGGATGGCTGTGGGATGTGACAGTTTGTTTTTAAAGGGTTAGAAGAGGTTTAGATTTAGTAGGCTTTTAACAGTGAAGGATCCAGAGCTGTGTCTTACAGTATCGACAGACCAGGAGATGGTCTGTCCTTAGGACAGGGGGAAAATGGATGTTGTGGACTGCTTTTAGGTTTCTTTATAGAAACAGGGGGAAGTTTTATCACTGCAGTGCCTAAACACCACTCACCACCAGCAGGTCATTGAAGAGAAAAACTTCCCTCTGGTGAGCTGCCTGCTTCTGCACTTTGTTCACATCAGTCACTTCGTATAAGCGGCTGCAGCAGACCAGGCGTCGATGGGGCACGGACAGCACCTGCATAAGACCCACAGGAGAATGCAGAGGCTGAGGGAGGTGCCACCGTGGGTCTCCCCCACCTTCAGCTGGTGCAACCCTGCCCAGTGACAGCAGCACAAAACAATTCTGCACACCCTCACCACCACTCCTCACCATCACTTTTCCTGCTGGTGCAGTAGCAGAGAGCTACACCTTTGTGATCTGGATAAATCTGAGGAGTGGGACAGGCTATAGGCAATCCCTCTTGCTCACACATCCTATCTTTCTACACTTGAGGCTTCCAATCAGTAGGTGACTGCTCAACCTCTCAATCCACTGGACATCTGAAGGTTTCATGGGCTTTGAGAAATTATTCTGCTCCTTTTGGGTGAACAGTATATATGTTTTTGCATTACACCTCAGTTGCTGTTAAAGAAGCTGTCTCTGCATTTGAGGGTCTCTTAACTCCAGCATCCTTAGGGAACTCTTTAGAGACAGATGGGTGAAATTGTTTTCTATCACTTTGCCTTCCTCTTCCTACACCCTCACAAGGTCTGAAAGTTTGAAACACTGCAGAGCTGTCACTGGAGCATTGGCAGGCAGGACGCGCATTGGCAGGCAGGACCTGTGTGATTCTTGGGCAAACAATTACTGCACCAGATACTATAAACTGTGGCTGAGAAGATCCCCCAAAATTAGGAAAGAATGAGACAGAGAGGAAGAAAGTGTTTGGAGAAAAAGGAGTGAATCCATCAAGACAAGCACGGAAAGCATTACAGAAGAAGAGTAGAGGCATAGAGGAAAAAGGCAGAAAAGAAGGCAGGGAGGGAGGAAGGGTCAGAGGGGTGAGTGGGTACCAGGAAGGCTGTAGGTGACTCACCGTTTTCATTCCAACTATGGACTTCTCCACTTTGGTGACATAAGTCACATGGTCCTCATTGGATTTTAGCTCTTTCTGCTGGATCCTCTCATAGATCCCCACGACCAGCTCCCGTGGAATGTCAGCACCATCGTCCACCCCTGCCGAACACAGAAATTGTTGTGCAGGCTAGGCAGGGAGAAAAGGGAAGGGAAGAACTGGTGGTCCCTGACAGGCAGCTACTGCCTCTGCACTGTGTAGTGCTGTGAAGGCTGAAGGGAAAGAGGAATACTTCACTTTAGGCTGTCTTCTTTCTTGTTCTAACACACCTAATGCACCAGCAAGAAAGACTGACATCTCTAAGGCCAATGCAGAAGATTTCATTATTCCTCTGCTCTGCATGGTGGCTCCTTTCCATGCGTTCCCTAAGGTTTTATAGCCACAATTTCACATTCATATATCTTGGGCCACTTAGCAGCAACCTCTGCATTGATTTCGTATCATCAGAAGTGCTAGATGTGGAGGAGATCTATGATGGGATTCAGCTGCTCCTCCTGCCAATGCAAGCATCAGCTCTGCTGTTTGCTTGGTGGCCTCCACTGTCCTTCTGTGATCTCTCCTAGGAATAATATACTTTTCAGTTACGCTGTCTGTGATATCTCTCTCTTGGCCTCGTCCTTTCCTCTTTTATATCTCCTTAGACAGCTCTCTAGATTTTGCTGTCTGATGTTTTCAGAGCCTGGCAGAAAAGTTTTCTTTCACCTTTCCCTGAGCCAAACGCCACAAATTGAACTGCCAGGTTTTCCTCTGAACTCCATTCCTCCACTCATTTTGTATCTATTTTCTCTGCTTTCCCTCCAGCTCTCTGGTTTGAGGTGTACTACCCTGAGTGATACAGGTGAGGAATTGCTGAGGAACGGAGAGGCATTATCATCTCCTGGCTCCCTCATCCATGTCCTTGCAAATGTAACCTGAATATTCTGTCTGTTTCCAAACACAGGCTGGTGAAGCTACTGACGTGGTATTGACCTGCAGGTGAGTCTGGAATGATCTGTCTCCCTTTGTCTGCAATGGAGTAACATTCACCCTCTCTAGTGAGTTGTGGTGCACGTTGGCTGAATTTATTGTGATGTGAACTGGCAGATTTTCAAGCAACTCTAAGTGTAAGTTAATGTAAAATACCCCTTTTCAGTTAGTGCTATCAGCTGTAATAACAAAGGGGAGGGGATGATGTCAGGTATCAGCCCTATTCAGTATTTCAGGAAATAACTTGAAAAGGGGCCTCATTATACTAATATAGAGCGGATGACAAATGGGGGAAGGTGTGGGAAGCTGAGGCAACACCTTCTGAACAGCAGTCAGGACAAAGAACCCACAGAAGTTCAAAATCTAGACAGCAATTTATACTAGGAAAACTTGAGGGAGCTGCAGATGTGCAGGAAGAGACACTTGGAAGATGACTGACCTAGGAGTGAACATGGCTGGGGAATCAGACAACAGTTTGTCTAGACATGATGTAAAAAAGGCCAAACAATACTAAGCTGCATTAGCAGCTCTGAAAATGAGGAGGAGGCAGTGGCTCTATATATGAGTATGCTGTGACCACATCTGAAAAAGTGCTTTTAGAAACCTATTACCAGGATGGAAAGGACTGACCTTGAAAACCAGGAGAAAATTGATTTGGGGAACTGATGTATCAGAAACTGCAAAGAGGTAATGTATGCTTGAACTCTGTCATGCCTACAGTTACTATAAGTAATTGCAAGCAATTAAGAAGGGGAAGATTTAGCCTGAATAGAAGGAAAATGTGTTTATGTATTCAAAGCTGCAAGGAGAGGAACGGCTTGTTTAGCACAATCCAGCAGGGTCTAAGAAGGATGGATCTGAACAATAGGAAAATGTAATGCAATGGACTGCTTCCAAGCAGTGAGATCTATTAAAAGATGAAACCCATCTCTCAAGGAAAATGGTTGGTTTCTGATAAGACTGGACAGCTTTCTGCAGAAAACAAAGCTTACATTTTCCTCTTGCCCAGCATTCCACAATTCACCTCAAAGGGCCCTCCATGTCTGGCTCACAAGGAGCAGCAGCAGCCCTAGAGAAAGGCAGCTTCACTTTAGTTTTGCTGCCTTCACGTAGGCAGAGTTTACAGCAGCAAGAGAGCAAAAAACCCAAAGTAGGACTCTCACCTCTAAGATTGCGAATGAAGTCCTCCAGCATCATCTTCCTGTCAGGCTTGATGTTGGGGCTGTACATGTCCGTATTGAGGAGGATGATTGCAAAGGCCAAGATGAAGATGGTGTCCGGGTTGTGAAACTGCTGGACCACATCTGGGTTACACATGCAGTACCTCTGGCTGCAGCAGGAGGGATGCACACACTTAACATGGAACATGGAAGTCCTCTGCTCCAGGGTGGCAACAGCTTCATCGCAAGTGGATCAAGCTGCTTTCACTCCACTTCTCACACAAATGAGAAGGAACTAACTTCTCTCTCAAGGCAAATTTATCCACTATGGCTGAAGTAGACCGCTGAAACTCCAGCCTCCTTGTTCTCAGGAACCAAAAAAGCAAGGGAGACTAGAGAGGACTGGTATCACTATGTAAGGGTAATATAGGAGCTGTCTACTCCAGCCTGCCTTGCTAAGGGCAAAGCACTCCTTTGGATGTGCCTAGGGAGCAGTGTAGCATCTCTGCAACCCCCAATACTGCTCTTCCTGTGAGTTGCCAATGAACGGGGAGTCTCTTGCTGGCAGACATGTCAGGACTGGCCTCACTTCAGCCCTTTGTGCCCTTTATACCATGGAACATCTGACAAGGACATGGCTCTGCTGCAGCACTGGCACAGAGGACTCCCTGCTTCAGAAGCTCCTCTGCGATCACCTTCTTTGGAAGGGAGGTTCCTGGCCATTCATTCCATGGCTGCTGCATGCTTTCTGCCTTGGGTGTGTTCTCTGTTTTCACCTGGTTGCAGCAGTGGGGCTGCAGGGCTCATTCCCTTGATTCTTACCTGAAAGCCTCAATGAGCCGCTCCACCTTCTGTGCCTCCCCCTGAACACGGATATGTGCCTGGAATTTCCGCAGGGCTTCATCCAGCTCCATGCCTGAGAAGTCCATCTCGTCCACCACGCAGCTGTGGGAGAGGAACACAGCCTTCGTCAGCACCTCCTCCCGCAGAGGATGCAAGGCAGGTTTGCTCACTGCACTACCAAGGCTCAGTTCCCAAGGGAAATACCATGGGAAAGGCCCTGAGCCACCACTACACTGCCCAGGTCACACTTATAATGGGTAGTAATTTCAGACAAGTAATTCCTGCATTCTACAGCAGGCAAGCAATTCTTGTATCTAAACATATATAGAGAGATATATATGCATGTATGTGTGTATATACCATGATATATATATATATCATACCATGCACAGGATATATACTTATATATACAAAATATATATATGTATATACTGATAATTATCCGTATAGATACAGATATTTAGACATCTATATTGATACCAATATCAACATAGATTTAGGTCATCTATTTTTGCCTTTCCTATCATCTGGTAATCCTTCACACATTGTCCATTCCTCCCTTCCACTCAGCACATGCACTTGTTCACTACTTGCTTCCCCATCCTTTTCTTATCTCTACTCACTGGGCTGTTCCTGCACTTGTCATCATCTTCCATTCTGTCCAGTATACATCCCAATTTGCAGCCCATACCTTCACAGCACTCTTCACTCCCACTCAACCACTGCAGCAGCAACATTCATTATATCTTTAAGGACCAAAGCCAGCTCAGAGAAAATAGGTAATGGAAGCTGTTGTACAGAAATAACATTGCAGCATCTGCTGGCTTGAAATATCAAGGCTGGATAAAACTCTGCCCATGTAGTCAAACACTAGGAGTCCCCTACCAATTAATTCTGTATAAACCACTGTTCATTTACACGTTTCTACCCATTCCACACAATCTTTTTAATTTCCACCATACTTCAGTGCCGTGCTTCCCTGTTATCTGCTAGAGATCCTTCACCTCATACATCTGGTATCATCACCTTTCCTTTCATGGTGATGCATTGCACACTGGTAATTCACAGCCAATTTAGATACCCAAAGAAGGGATGCCACCTCTCTTGTTTCCCACCTAAGCATTCTCAGCTTATAGAAGTCCTACCATTAGTCTCCAAAACCTACCAATACAGTTCTTGCTCTCTGTATGAGTCAAATAATCTAGTTCTTATTGTAACTGCCTGAAATTTCAGTCATTTGCAATGACAGCACCTTCCCCATGTGGCTTCAGCACATTTTGTTAACATATTCCTACTTTTGTGTCCAGGTCATACTGCAATCATTAATCAAAAGCCTAGACTCAGAAAACTCTGCTCATAGCCTCCCTTAGGCTCAGCTTCCCATTGCAGCAGAGTATGTAGGCACTAATGTCTGCATCAGGCAATTCTCTCCCCTGTTTATGATTCCTCTGCTAATTTCTAGCCATTCCACTCTCAACTAACAATTTCTCATGTCAAACGCTTTGGTGAAGTCTAGAATTACCTTCTGCATGTCCCTTGTCTAGAAAACCAGTTATTATTGTCTTAACAAAGACACTGAATTAATCTACTCTCCACTAGCTTTGGTATGTACCATTTACCTTCCTGTCTGCCATTATTCTTTCCCATAAAGAAATTCTCAAAGCTGACATTCTGTCAGACCAAGAAATTAACAGGTGCCAAAATCCCAATTTTTAAAGCCTTCCTTAAATGTGAAGTTACTAATTTGCTCATCTTCAATCATATGGCATCACCTTGACATTACAAGTGTGTTAAAAATTCAAGGACTTCATATTTTCTGCTTCTATATACCTTGGATGCTAATGCTATTCCTCCCACCCACCCTCCCCCTGCCTTTATATCATCCTCTGTATTGTCTTTGGTTTGTTTTCTCATGTTGTAAAAGATAAACTGACCCCAAATTTGAGGTTAGGAGGAATTTTTCCCTAATACAGGTTGCCTGGGACTATATGAGGAGTGGTACACAGAAAACAGAGGAGGAGGGGATTAGTTCTATTCTGGATCTTTCTATTTCCTAGGATTATCTGGAAATTTTCCCAAGCAACCCACTGCTAATCAAGGGATGTGCTGTCATCAGTTTTTCCTTCTTCCTTTCTGTGATAAACTGGGGACATGTCTGTTGGTCTTTCCTAGAGTGCTGTAGTTTGCTGCAGGCTGTTGGGAAGTACTTTGTGAGCTAGGATGTGTCACGTGCAGCCTTGCTATAATGAAAATCTGATGCATGATGTCTCAACTGTGTGAGGGACAGGGCTCAAATGCTCAGGGACATCTCTCCATTCCCTCATTGATCAAGAGTTCAAATATCATTGCTTAACTGAAGCAACACCCACAGAATAAGTTAGCAAGAGCTCTGGCTGAACAGAGTCTTCAGTATCTCCTAAGGCTGGAATCATCAACTAGGAAACATGAACTCTGTCCCTCCACAAACTCCATATAAACAAAATGAGGGAACAACTGCTGAGTAGCAAGGGTGGAGAATCAATGGGGCTGCTTTCATAGGAAATCTTACATGAAATCTTCCTCTCCAAGAGGTGGACTGGCAACAGCAAAAACTTCCCCCCCACCTCCTTCCTTTGCTATCTTTATTTTCTCACTCTTATACTCACATGTCCCTTGGGTTGACATCAAGGCTTCCTGCTTCTTGGAATTTATCTTGGATAGTAAGAAAAGTTTTTCTCTGGTTAGTCATTACTGTGTTCACAGCTGCAACCACCTCTGCAGTTGGACTTCTGTTATTATTTTTTAATACTTGCCAATGTGTGATGTTTCTCAGCATTGACCCAGTGATTTTGCTGTTATTGTCTGCTTCTAGACATGTGAAAACAGAGTCCTTGCACACACCAGTGAGACCTGCTGAGGTCCCCCTAAGTAACCCCAATCCACCAGCATTAAATTGTGTATATTTCCCTCCCTCCCTCACGGATCAATCCTTCCCGCTCCATGCAGGCTGCTATAACACATCCTTCCCTTTGTGTACAGATCTCAAATAATAAAGTCAATGCCCCTGATACAGAAAGCATGAAGCCTTTATTAGGACAAGTAGGACAAGGCAGCTGCTTATAGCTCTTTTCAAACTCAAACAGAATTATAAGAGTTATGCCCAGCTTCTCTTTGAGAGTTTCTTTCACGGACTGACAGATGCTGGTTTGCTTTGTAAATTGGAAGACAAAACCCTGGGAGTCCCTTTCATCTGAAGGAATGGAATCCAAAGAGTGATGCCCCCTGTCCTGCTTTGTGAGAAAAGCTGACCAGGCAGGAAGGGCACATCAGGAAGAAAGTTTGACTCAAGAAAAGTCAGCATGGGCTTCCATTTGATTTATTTGCTTCCATTTGGCAAAACCTGTTCTTTGTCAACAGCTCCTAGAGGAACTACCAGATATGCTGCTGCTTTCTGCTGCTAGACAGAAAGAATGGTGGATCACAGCTGCCTGATATTTTTTGTGAGTAAATTTGACACAGCAAAGACCACTGGAAGAGCCAAAGAGCCTTGTGCCAAGGGGCTGCCATGTTTCTGCTCCTCTTCTAGGTGTCTACAAGTTTTGCTGCCTTGCCTGACCTCAGATTCCTGTACAGACTCCCATTAACATTCTGAATGTACTGTGGTGCCTATACCAGAGCTCCCCTGAAATGCAGTGCAACTTTCTGAAACCAGAGCAAGGAGGTCTTTTCTTTCCAAGCTAGAAAACCTGGAAGCTGACACAGGATATCTTGGCAAACATACTGCAAAAAGTACATTGATTCTGTCAGCCTCCCAGGCTGCAATGTAAAAGGCAATGTAACCACGTGCACAAGGGCAGGTTGCTCCCCAGGACTGGATTTGCCAATGTACAAGACAAAGGTTGAGCTGAGAGCGGCTGGCTCTCTGCATCCAAGCAATAACCCAGCAGCTTATGTGCATGTGCCAAAACCAGTGCCGAGTTCATTTCTGCACAAACAGCAGAACACCTCTATTCCAGGACCACCAGGACACCTGAAGGATAATAAAGCAGGGGCAGAGTAATCACCGTATGAAATCTCCTCCTGTTTCAACTCCTTCCTCCCCACAAACTTGCAATAAGACACACAAATTGACCTCACACTGCATCCAGAGATGCATTTAGACCACTACCTGCAGGACTAGGACTTTAGATGTTTGCATTATGTAGCTACAGTGAGCTGGAAAAGTGCTGACATCCTGCCCCATAAACAAGGTGGTGGAGTTTGAGGGCTCTTTTGCCACCTGTATACATGGGAAGCTTCGGTTGTCCTAAGGCACTTGGCAGGCAGACATCTCACAGCTGCAAAGAATTGCATGCCACGTGCCAGGACCTAAGTGGGGGTCCTAGTTGGATCATTATTTTCAGCTATTACCTCAGAGGTGGCCACGATGCCTCCTAGTGTGCAGTGCATAGATCCCCCAAAGTGGGGTGGATATAGTGGCATCATATCTGCGAGGATTTAGCACAGGGCTAAGCATGAGCCTTGCGTTGAGAGGGTTCAGTGAAGGCAGGAAGCAGCTGTATCTTGTGGGGCTGGGATCTGCTTGCTGAAGTGTAATGACCTATTTTCCAGCTTTTCCACTCAGGTGACAACGAAGCAGGAGCTGGGCTGCAACTAAAAGTGTCTGTAATGAACCTGCAGCCTACACTGAGGGAGGGAGCAAGGGGGGAGGCAGCCAGGTGGAAAGTTTAAAACTACAAGGCACAAAGACACTAATAAAAAACATCTCTCTTCTCAGCTTCCCTAATCCTGCGAGCATTCTGAACAATGAACCATGCTTAGGGTAGACTGCAGAAGAATTGCTCCCTTGGAGGAGGCTGCCCTGCACGTGTTAACTGAGGCTCACAGAAAGAAAAGTGAGCAGGACTCACTGATTCCTTGCACCAGCACACATGGGTGTGTGTCTCAATCCTGCCCTCCCTGTGTAAGGGTAGTCTACACAATGGTGACCATGGCCCACACCAGTCTTCTCTACCTGGGGGTGCTGTACTACATGTATTGCCTGTTTTCTTCTGGGCTAAGTCGTGTCACCTTGCCCTCCCAGGGTTGTTGGTAGTTCACATTGCTCCTCACTTGGGCATCCA